CACACACACACACACACACACACACACACACACACACACACACACACCTTGTATGTGAGGGTAGTAGATCATGTATAGCAGTCCCCAGTGTAAAGTAGTCGTAGTAGTTTCAGTTCCAGCAACAAAAAGGTCCAAAGTGCAAAAACACAGATTCTTGAAATCGTAACCAGCGTCTTTGTCCTTGTTCTATCAATAACACAAGAGACAGTTTCTCGTATCAGTTGACATGTTGTAGTAGAAAAATGCAAAAGAGGACAAACACAATGCAAACAGATTCAAACACTCACCTCTCCTATCTCTGCGAGGAAGCAGTCGATGTAGTCTCTCGGTGAGGAGGGGTCAAAGCTTTCCCCGTGTTCTTCGATCTTTACTTGTATGTAGTCGAGCAAAGCTTGTGTCAGAGAGAATATCCTCTGGTGAGGTCCAGGAAGCCACTTCATCAGCAAGGGTAACGCGTTATAAACCTACAGGGCATGAAGACGGTTATCTGGGATTTAAGGCAAAAGACACAGGTGGAGGCTGCAAATTTGCATTCGTCAAAAAATACAGACACTCTCTGTAAATCACAATAAATCAATGTCACAATATAAAATGGCATACACTGTGAAAGAGGATGTTATTCCTGTCGCCCCTCCTCAACAGGGCTATCACTTGTGTCATTATATACACCTGCACAGTTCCTGCGGTAAGCCTCTTTTCACACAACATTTTAAAAAATAATCTCAAACTGCTTAGAGGTAAACTAATCCTCCACTTTCATCTTGTCCTCATGTTGGGCAGCACTGGACTAACGAGCCATTACTGTAATTAAAAAGGAGTAAAATACTACTTACACTTTAATGCAGTTACAATCCAATTATGTAATATATAACAATACTTTTGATATTTTTATCACACGTTACCGATTTTGTGTTTTACGTACGTTTAAATTCACATTTACTTGCAATGGAGTATTTTGACATTGTTGCATTCATTATTTTACTTTTGTAAAGGATCTGCCTCCTCCTTCCACCACTGGTTCCCACGTAGTATTCAACGTCATGTTAATTTGTTGTTCTATAGAAATGATTGCTGTACGCTGCTGCATCGTTCAAAGCCGGCTCACCTGTGCCCAAAAACCTCCCTCCAAGTACAGTATCTCAGTGAAGGTCTGAAGAATCAGCTGGTGCTGCTTGTCAGAGTACTCGAAGCGATCCCCAAACACCAGGCAGCAGATGATGTTGGACACAGCCTTGTTCATCAGTGGCTGGGCGTCAAAAGGCTTGCCTGTAAAATAAAGAGAAAATGTAGATAAGACACATTTATTCATCTGTTAAAAGTCGTCAAATAACGCTTAAAATGTTTGTGCAAATTGCATGCTTTCTTCCTACCACTTTCATCTATTTTATCTGTAAAAGCAAGTTTTTTTTAAATTTAGAGCACTTTGAGCTTCATAGTCTGTATGAAATGTGTGATAATTAGCATACAAATTCTTGAATTATGGCCCAAAATGTTTGCCAAATTTGAAAGAAACCCTTCAATGTGTTCTTGATATATTACTTTCTCAAGAATGGACCGGACGGACGGACAGACAACCCAAAAACACATCGTCGCCCGCAGAGGTACAAAACAAATATATGCTTAGTTGTAAAAAGGTGTTACTGTCTTTTAAGGCACCAATAAGTGCCTTAAGCTTATTTTAGCTTATTAGTTGTTGCTTGTGGAGAAACATGATTTGTTCAGTGCCTTGCTGAAGGGCAAAAGCCTCAGTGAGGTAATGACACTCCTGCTGGATGGACAGCTCCAGGGTCTTCTTGCCCACACCAAAGTTTCTGAGTGTACGGACAGCAAATCTCCTCTGCTCCTTCCACTGGTGGCCATTCGATATCACCAGACCTGTGGGGAAACCAAAGCAGCATTAATGGGAAATAAGACACAACTAAGGGCTAGCTAAATGCTAATATTGCTAGCATGCCTAATATGGTCATCATTATAATAACTACCAGTAACGTTTTAAACTAAATGCAACACGCGCTACCTTTGTTGCCCGTTAATGCATCAAATAACGGTATGGAGGGGCGATCCACGTAGTCCTCTCCTCGTTGGACCAGGGCCTCTCTCACAAGCTTGTAGCCATTGAGGACCACGATCCTTCCACCAAAGAGCCGGAGGCTGAAAATGTTTCCATATTTCTGTGCAAACTGAACACAGAGAGCAGACTGGTGGGTTTTGGTTCAACACTGAGTTGACCTACTTTCTGAGGATGTTGACAAGAAAAGAATCAGTCTAGCTTTAAACACAGCCGGCTACAGTAGACATTACTGACTACTGTTGCATTGATGTGCTTCTCTTTCTGTCCTAAACTCCGTTGTGGTTATTTAGTGGTATAATGCCCCGTTTATCTCAGGCGGCAACCTCTGATTTGGAAAAGTGAAGCCGATGTGGAAGTGTCCTAAACTTTCAATCTCTCTCCTCTGGTTGCAAAAAGAAGTCTGGTTGTATAGAAGTCTATGAGAACATGACTCTACTTCTCTCTTGATTTATTACCTCAGTAAACATTGTAAACATGAGTTTATGGTCTCAATCTCTAGTTTCAAGTCTTCTTCAATACAGCATGATGTTCATTTAGTACATTATGGTCCATTTAGAGTCAAACAGACCATAAAGCAGGGGATGCTTTAGGGCGGGGCTACCTTGCGATTGACAGGTTGTTACGTCTGTGTGTGGTGGCTCTTGAAGCTCTGACAGCCGCAGTTCACTCCTTGTGAATCTCCCCCAAATTCTTGAATGACCTAAACCCCAGAGAGAGTCTCTGGGGTTTTGTCAAGAGGAAGATGAGAGACACCAGACCCAACAATGCAGACGAGCTGAAGGCCCCTATCAAAGCAACCTGGGCTTCCATAACACCTCAGCAGTGCCACAGGCTCATCGCCTCCGTACCACGCCGCATTGATGCAGCAATTCATGCAAAAGAAGCCCCGACCAAGTATTGAGTGCATACTGTATACTGTAAGCCATAATCATCAAAATTAGAATAAATAAACGCTTGAAATATATCACCCTGTGTGTAATAAATCTACATAATATATGAGTTTCACTTTTTGAATTGAATTACTGACTTTTCGATGATATTCTAATTCACTGAGATGTATATGCGTTTCTTACACGAAACCAATAATAGCTGTGGCGTCATAATGAGGTTATTAGAGGTTGTTCAACTGCAGTAGGAGGACAGCACTGAAGGCCCAGCTATAAAACACACGGCCCACCACTGCTTTACAGATATATTTAAAAACAAAATAAGACTTAATTGATACTTGTGGGGAATTCACAAGCTACCCAGCAGTATATAAAGTAGTTGAACCAGCTCTACACACACCTGCGTCACACTTACCAGCTCCCTTTGCTGGTTCAGACGATGGTTAAGGGTCAGTTCAGGTAAAAGGGGGAATCACATATCGAGCTGACACTATGCGACACAACGCCTTGTTTGCAGGCCGTGTGCACCCTGACACTGACAACATACCTCTCCAATCTGCAGGTGGAATCTGGTGATATCCGTGCGATGCAGGTCACCGATGAAAGGAAGAGCCCACGGTCCTGGGGGGAAGTTTGGCGGAGCTCTGTTTTTCACAATATCAGTCAACAACAGAAAAACACACAGAAATATCAAAATACTGCTGCAGTCCATCCACTCCAAGCCCAGTACATTGTATAGTGCCTCCATTTGATTGCTTAACTATGTCAACTTGTTTCTTTTTCTGGTGTTAACTTTTGCGAGCACGACCGTACAAAGCTCATTGAAGTACGCGGGCGGAAGGTTTGTGTTTCACAAGAAGACAAGACTTCCCTATTCTGTGTCTGACCTTCAAAATAAAAGCACAAAACATACACACAAACATACAATGTCGTTTTTAATAGCTCAATGAAAATTGTAGTCACATTTAAGTCTTTTTTTTGTTTTGTTTGGGCCAAGATTTAGTGAGTGGAATATGTTTTAGTCATATTCATAAAAGACAGTTCATATGGAAGCCCATTTCCACCACTGTGATGTTTTACTATCTCATAATTATTTCTGTAAATCGAGATAGCAGGTCTATCTCATAATTATCAGATACTAAGTCCTAATTATGTGATGCTAGGTCATTATTTTGAGAAAGTTTCTCATTATAATGACTTACAGGATCTTTATTTTTTCATCACAGTGGCAGAAATGCACCTAAGCATTCAGTTGAACACAGATCTTTTGTTTATGTAAAGGTAGCAATGCTCTCTGAAACGTAGAAATACTCAAATTTAAGTGAAGATACTAAAAGTACTGACTGCAGAATCACCCCACTCAGAACCATAAATCAGTGGATTACAACTGTAGCTGCGTTAATACGTAAGCATTATTTCAATCTTGCAGCGTGTAAATGTGGGGCTAACTGTAACTACTTTATATACTACTGGGAAGCTTAATCTTTAAGAATACATAATAATTCATTAGTTCAGGTGAGGATTAGAGGCTAGGAACAGCACTATGTTGTTGAGGGTCCTCACAAGTGTAGAAGTAAAATCATGAGGTGGAGGTGATATGTCACTTCCACCTTGATAATGACTGAATTATTTTGTTGCTGCACCTTTTGACACCATGGTGTCAAAAGGTGCAGCAACAAAATAAGTCAAGTCAAATGTAACTTGTATTTTGAATTGAAACAGCTACTCGAGAGATCTGTTACACACACCTGCATACAAGTCCAGAATGT